AAGACCCCCCCCCGAAATGAGACCCCCTCCCATTTATTACGAAATCTGGAGTGGCCGTCAACGATTTCTACGTCCGCGCATGAAACCCACTCCGACTCCTTCTCCCGCGTGCACCTCGCGGCTTCAATCCAGCATTCTCGGGGTCGGCATGGCACCCAGGTTCCGCGGCCCACAATTCCCGCCACGAAATCCGCGAGCGCGATCCACGCATGGCCCGCGTGGCCCTTGATGCGTTTGGCTAGAAGCAGGGCGGGGTGATGGGGCCATCGCTTTTCGTGAACGTCGATCGGGACACATGTCGATGGCCCACTGGGCCTCCGCGGGAAGGGGCCCAGGCATATTGAAAAACCATGGCATGCTGTCGGGCCCTTCCAACAGCTCCGCCGTTGTTGGACTTCGCTCGAACTTGCTAAACAGCTGGGTGGTAGGAATAGGAGAGGAGGCGGCAGCCCTCTCACCCCTGTGCGCGCCAGCAGTGCATGTAGCGACTATAATGGGAACTTCGACCCCCTCGAAGCCCCGCGGGGATGGAAACTCGGTCGGCCCCAACTCGCCGACATCTAAAACCTGAAAACGATTGCTAAGAGGCAGGGGCGACCCTTGTCCCACACTGGCCCTGCCAAAAGAACCGCTGTCTGGAGGAGATCCCCGCTTGCTTGTTCCTGGCGATGCAGGCGATGATACCCCGCGGCACGAGCTGCTAAATCACCATCCCACGCGCTAGGTGCAGCATGCGCAATCAGTCGCGAATCCACAGGGGCACCCTGGCCCCCGATGGGCATCAAGCACGATCGGCGCGGAGGGGTGGGAGGGGTCGGCCCCCTGGCGACCAGATATCTCGAATGAGTTAGAATTGGATCGGATCGTGCATCCCCCAGAATAAACTCGCTTAAAAGTCCCCCGCCCTCCCTCAGCGGCTCCTCGCGCGGGGGGCCCGCCAACTCCGGGTCCCGGGTCTGCGGCCCCTGGAGGGGGGGGAAACCTGACGGCGCCCTCTGTCGCTGTCTCTGCTCTGGGGCCCCCCTCTGGACACGCGGGGCCCGCTAGCGACTGATCCTCGTGGGCAGCGGAGAACATTGGCGCGGCGGGCGGCGCGACGGGGGCGACCGCCTCGCAAGAGGCCTGGCGCCTCTTCCTTCGCATCGAGTTTTAAGCACCTCTCCTCGCGCGGGCCCTGGGCCACTTGGGTCGGTGAGATGCCGATCGCGAGCGCGCGCTGCTCCGACGGGATAATAGGGGGCGACGTGCGGGACCCCCCGGCACTTCTCGCCCCCGAGTACGATCTGTCTCGCGTCGATGATCTGCGTCGATCTCGCGGCGGTCTGGCCGCGGCCGCTGGAAACCCAGCGCCTCAAATGAGAGCGGCAGCCTGAACTCGCTGCAAACTGATGCGCTGGATCAGCAAATCCACCCGCTTGCCCGCGTCAGCTTGTTTCTCCACGAGGGGGGAGGTCGCCGTGTTCTGGAGCTGATCAGACTTGTCATTGTTCCCGGGTATCTGAAGAGTCTGCGGAGGGGGCCGCGGTGCCTGGTGCCCGTGAAGCGCCTGTCTCGAACCATCCATGTTGCGTGACCAGGCACCTGCAACCAGACCGCTGCGTGGGCCGCGTGCTGGACGAGCGTTGACCCGTATATGACGGTGCTCAGCTGGAGCAGGGGAGGCCGTCGCGGCGCCCCCCATGGGGTGAACACCTGCGGCGCGCCGTCGATGCGTCGGCCCCGCCTCCATATCGCCCCCGACCTGGCAGCCCCCAAAATCATCGAGCTCCTCGATCGAACGCTTCCGCGGGACAAGGTCCCCCTCCGCCACGTTTCGGAGGTCCCCGATCTCAGTGAACTCCGCCGTCATGGCGCGAAAGCGGCCCCGGCACTTGTCCCGTCTTGCATTGCGCTCCGCCAGGTGGTCCGCTCGCTCGACGGCAGCCCCCGTCGCGCACCTCGGGCGAGCGACCTCGCGGAGCAAGTGCTGATTGCCCTTGCCCGCTCAACGAGCGGCGATAACCAGCGTCGCGATGTCGAAGAGCCCGCGCTCGGCGCCCACCTCGCACTGCCATGGCCCGGCGCAGAGAAGACTCATGCCCGCAGTCTCATGCACATGGTGGCGTCGCTCCTCGACATGGGCCCCCCCCCCCATGGTGGTCTCAATCTCTCCCCTGCCCCCCCGGCGGGCCCCCCGCTGGGCACCTCGACGAGGCTGGCTCTGAGGGCGGGGCTGGGATCTGGAGGCCCTGGGATCGCACGCGCCATTCCTACGTCTGCTCGGCGCTCTGACTCTGTCGTTGCAGCGTTTCCCGAGCAGGCAGTTCCAGCGGCTGCCCTTCACGAAGCGCCCGCAGGCGCGGGCCCGCTGGCGCCCAGGTCCTCGAGCACGGGGTCCGGCGCGAGACATCTGAAATAATTGGGAGCTGCGGTGCCCCTCAGGAGGGATTGGGCCTTGCTCAAAGTCAATGAGATCCGAGCGCGCCCGCGCGCTGCCCTCGAGGCGTCGGCGCCAGGCGGGCCTCTTCGCGGCGAGAGGCGAGAGTGGCAAGGGGGAGCCCGACACAAAAATAAGTGCGGCGAGCGACCTCGCGCTAGCCGGCGCCGACGCCCTCCGCCGCCCGCTTGGGCGGGGCGCTCGCAAGCACGAGGGGCAGCGGGCACAGCGGCGCGCTCGGGCGGGTCGGCACCTTCAGCCAACGGAAGGCGGCAGCGGACGGCGGCCGGCAGGGAGCTGTAGAATTGCAAGTCGGACGGGATCACCTCGTCGTAGACCTGCGCCTCGGCGCCGCCAGCTCGCGCGGGCGGAGCACCGGCGACCATCCGTCGCACGCGCCCCCCGGCGTCGGGGGGATCAGGTGCGCCCCCAGCGCCCCGAGGGCCTACGACGGCCTCAAGTAGCCCGCGAAGGTCACCAGCGCGTAGATCGCGGCCCGCAGCTGGCCGATGCCCAGCAGCTTCGCCGCAATGAGCGCCGCGATGTCCCGCGGCGGCGGCAGCCCGGCGCGGGCGCGCGCCCGCCTCTGCCGCCCCCGCGGGGCCTGCGGCGCCCGCGGCAGCCCGAGCCCCCCGCGCGAGAACTGCGGCATCATGAACCTCCGCGCGGCCAGCACGCAGGCGCCCCGCTCCGGGTTCCAGCCCTAGGCGCGCCGCTGATCCATCCACTGGGTCAGCAGGTCGTCGGCCGTCTCGGTCCGCAGCGGCGCGGTCGCGGTCGCCAGCCGGGCAGAGAACTCCCCCCACAGGCCCAAGCACGTGGCCCCCGTGGTCTCGGTCACCGAGAGAGCCCTCGAGATGGCCCGCTGAGGCCCGCAGGGCTGCCGCCTCGGGCGCCCGCGCCGCGGCCCTCCCAGCGCGCCCGGCCGCCGCCCCCGCTGCCTTCGCCCTCTGGCCGCGACCAGCCCTTCGGCGACTCCGCGTTGGCCTCGGCGGCAAGCTGGTCGCCGCAGGCGCCTGGGGGCGCCCGCGCCCCACTTAAAGGGCGGGCGCCAGCGGCGCCCGCGGCGTCCGGGGCCGCGCCTTGGCCAGCGCCACGGCCGCTCGAGGGCCGGGCCCCTGCGCGGCAGCCAGACTGGCGACTGCGCCCCACCGGGGCCGAGCGCCGATCCGAAGCGCGCGGCGCGTCGGCTGGTCGGCCGGGTTCGCCTCGGAGGGGGCCCAGCGCAGCGCCGCGCAGATGCCGCCCGCCACGGCAAGGGCGGCCCGCCGACGGCAGACGCGGGCCACCCTCGGCCGCGAGGAGCGGCCCCTCGAGAGAGCCAGGACGGCGACGGGGCTGTCATAGAGGAATAGAACACGATGGCCACGCTGTTTCGAATCACGAAGAACGCGTCTCAGCGCGTGGACGAGCGCCCTTCCCTCCAAAGACGCAACGCGCCCCCCCCTGCCGCCGGGCCCCACTGGAGATGACAACCCGCCCACCCGAGACGCACTCCACCTCCAGAGGCTCGTAGATAGCAGACTGCCGCCGCTGTCGAGGCTCACGGGGCGACGCGAGGTCGACGGGCCCAACGACGGCAGGCTGATGTTGCTTTCGAGGTTCGACCGCCGCGCTGCAGATCCCCGCGCCGTCGAAGCCGACGAGCTTCCCGATGCCAAGGGTTTCGACAGCGGCTCGGCGTCGATGGGGCGAACGACGGGCTCCGAGGGGGCGATGAGCTGCCCCCCGGGGCCTCCGGCAGCACGATCTCGGAGGCGTCGGCGCCCCCGGACCCCCAAGGAGCTTCTGCGCCACAAGAATAAGGAGGACGCGCTCGCGCGCCCCTCGGCCCCACTCGGAGGCGCCCGCGCGCAAAACTCAGCCCGGCCACTCCGCGCGCAAGTCTGCCTGGGCCAGCGGCGCGACGCCCGTGGCCCACTGCAGCCCACGGCGCACGCTGGGCCCAGGCTCGCGTGGAGCCTTCCCCGCCTCGGCGATGAAGCGTCGCGCGGCCGAGAAGATCGACGGGGGCGGGCGCCTCGCCATGGCGAGGAGCGCGCAGCGCCCCACCACAAGCCTCAACTAGTGGCCGGACCGAGACCTTCGGCGTGGCCAGCAGCGCCCGCGCGGCGAGGATCAGGCGCCAGGCTCTCCGAGCCGTCGGAGAGACAGCGCCCCTCCCGCCGTCGATCACCCAGCCCAGCAGCCGCGCGTGGAGGGCGGCGCCCTCCCCCCCGTTGACATGGAGACCGCCCTCGCGCAGCTCTGCGACCACGTCGTCCTTCATCCGCTCGGCGGTGTCGCGATCCAGCGAGAGCGAAGCGAAATTGTCGACGCACTCGAGGTGCGCCCCCGCCGCCGAGCCTGGGCCGGTCCGGCGATCCACGATTCGCGCCGTCGGCGACAGCCCCGCCCGATCGGCCGCCGACTCTGACGCCCGCTGACGCACGGCCAGCGCGTGGGCCCACCCCATGGGCAGCACCGCAAGTCGCGGTCACAGCAGACGAGACCCCCGCTGCCCGCGGTCAGCACCACGCCCCAGCCTCCACGCACCGATCGACGGGAGCGCGGAGCATGGGCGCCAAGTGAGCGGCAGCTCCACGTTGTAGAACGCGTCGGCGATGTCCGCCGAAGCGATCCACAGGTTGGCGCGGTCGGGCAGCTCGACCGCCGCGCCAGTGGCCTGGCGCGCGCCGGCGGGCGCGCCGAACCAGAAAATGGCGGGCTGGGCGTCGCCCGCGAGCCGCTGGCGCCCGCACTTCTTGGACACGCTGAAGAAGCCAATCTCGCCGATCACCTCGCTGGGGTCGCCGACTAGATCGATGGCTCTGACGTCGAGCAGACGTAAAACCAAGGCTGCATGCCGACGGCGGTCACGATGAATGGGGTCCACGCAGGGTTTCTCGAAGCCAAAATCCAATTCTCCGCTGCAGAACTTCGGCCCCTGGCAAGACCTTGCTTGGAATATCGCGATCACCGGGATCACAAACCCCGGGCCCCAGCGGCCGCCCCGGCGCCAGGGGGCGGCCACCTGGCGGCGGCAGCGAGAGCCGGGAAACACCCATCGCCTCCGCCTCGGTCGACAACGAGCCGTCGTCAGACAGCAACCTGGAGCTCCCGCAGGGCCGCCCAAAGCTGAAGGTCGCCAGGCAGGGGGCCCAGTTGCGCGACGGACTCGGCGACCCGCGCCGGGCAACACCGCTGCGCCAAGGTCGCGCGGCCCTGCGGCCCAGAGCCGCCAGCGCCCCGGGGGGCACGGGCAGCGGGGCGAGGCCCCGCCGCCGCTCCGCGCCCACACCGCCGCGCCTGCCATTCACACCCTCGACGTCGCAGGCGGCGGCCGAGGAAGACCCGGCCCCCGCAGCGCCCAGAGGGGCAGGGCCAGGAGATCCCCCAGGCCAACATCATGACTTCCCGCCTCCGGCCTTGGCCCCGCAGGCAGCCTTCGCTTCCCCCCGCAACTTGCGGGCGTTCTTTTGGAGCTGGCTGACGCGCTCGAACTCCTTCCCAAACACGCCCAGCAGGGCGGGGGAGACCTGCTCGGGCGGCTGGATGCGCCAGCGCCGCCCATGAAGGCGCTGATCTCCTCCTGCGGCAGCCCCTGCTGGACCGAGCCCTGCCCCCTCTGCTTCCCTGCCCAGAAGTGCTCGATCATCTGCATCTTCCTGACCAACCGCTCCGCTCCGACGAGGTTCGCCACGTTGACTGCGTCGATCCTCGCCAAATCCTCGAGCGCCATGCTGAGGGTGTTATGCTCGGCTATCCCGCAGCTGAATTACTCAGCCGCTCGCGCGCGGGGCACCGCTGCCAGGGACGCGAGCTAGAGTCCGAGCGTCGGACCCCCGCCACGTCGCCGTGAAGTCGCCCCGGCGCCTGTCCTCCAAGACGAAAGCCACGGCCGAGATGCCTCCCGCGAGCGTGACGACTGCGCGCGTGCCAGCCCGCGCCGCCAACTTGGGCGCCCGAGGTATCCGGGGCAACTCGGGCCCGGGGTAGCTCGGGCTTGGATTCCCGAAAATGGAACCCGAGTTAGCCCTGACCCGAGTTACCCCTGATGATTCGGGGCTCTGGGCGCCCGAGTTATCCGGGGTAACTCGGGCCCGGGGTAACTCGGGTTTGGATTCCCGAAAAGCGAACCCGAGTTATCCCTGACCCGAGTTACCCCTGATGATTCGGGGCTCTGGCCAACGCGATGCCCGTGATCGGCCCCACCTGCACGACCGAGCCCAAGGGGAGGGAGTCGACGTCCTCCGCGAGCACCCAGGCCCAGCCGGGCGGCGCCTCGCCGTTCGCCCCAAGCGGGGGGCCGCCGTCCCCCTTCCAGCCAGGGCCAGGAGGAACTCCGACGGCGGACGGGGCACCTGCGGCCATCGGCACGCCAGCCGCGGGGGCAGCCAGCCAGGCGGGCGGCACCGCGGCGAAGGGAGGCGGCCCAGCTGCAGCGCCAAGGGCTGGGGCGACGGGCCCCGCGGCAGCCAGCGCAGCACCAGCAGCACCAGCAGCACCAGCAGCACCAGCAGCAGCGGCACCCCCATCAGCGGCCCGCCTGCAGCAGCTGGGGGCCCCGCACCAGGCAGCAGACCGCCGCTCATGAGGATGGGCGTGCCGCCAGGCGGAACGGGCACCCCAGGGTGGCGGCGGGCGAACTCGGCATCCGCCTCGGCGATGGCGGCGGCGACCCACGCGGCCTCGCGAGCCGCCGATGGGGCGCGCCCGAACGTGTACGTGGCGTCTGCCGCGATCCCAGGCAAAGGAGGCCAGCGTGCGCCGAAAAACACACCGCTGCTATGTCGGGCCTTGCCGCCAGCAGCCTGTCGGCGTAGACCATGTCATCAGGAGTCACGATGATGACATCACCCGTGAGCGCCACTGGGGCCACGACCCTCCTCTGGTGGAATAGCGGCTCGCCGCCCACGTTGTACAGCACCCACGCCCAATCTTCCGCCATCGCCAGCCGCTGCCAGAGCCAGGCGCGCGGGCGGTCCGCTCGGCGCCTCTGCCAGCAGCGCTCCAGCGGACGTTACCGGGCCCCGAGCCTTCGCCGAGAAGCGCAGCGGGCCCCAGACCCGCAGCGCCCCGATGGCGGCCAGCGCGCCGAAGGAGGCGCCAGGCACGCCCGCCGCCAGGCAGGCCAGAGTGACCGCGCCTGCGGTCGCGCCCATGGCAGCCCCGGGGCACGGCGGGCAGGCGGGGCACGCGGGGCACGGCGGCACCTAGGCGGCGGGGCAGCGAGCCACCCAAGCTTGTGGCGCGGGATCGCCCCAGCGATCCAGCGCCCTGAACAAGCCCTCCCGGAGGCCCAACCAAGCCATACAAGCTCGAGAGCCGAAGGCTACGGAAAGCAAGCTTCGGCATCTCTTCCCCCCTCAAAAGGCATTCAACTGACCATGATGATGATGATGCTGATGCTGATGCTGATGCTGATGATGATGATGATGATGATGATGATGATGATGATGATGATGATGATGATGATGATGATGATGATGATCATGAAGATGATGATGATGATGATGATGATCATGATGATGATGATGATGATGATGATGATGATGATGATGATCATGAAGATGATGATGATGATGATGATCATGATGATGATGATGATGATGATGATGATGATGATGATGATGATGATGATGATGATGATGATGATGATGATGGGGATGGGGATGAGGCACATCCAGTGAGGATGGTAAAGATGAGGATGACTACGTTGACGGTGATGACGGGAACGATGATGACGATGATGACGGTGACGACGATGAGGACGATGATCAAGACCATGGTAAAGATGCGAAAAAAGGGAGGCAACAGGCATTATTATGGTCATGTCTGCGGCCGCACAACAGACATAACCATGGTCGTGTCTGTGGCACACGCACATTGGACAATCTTGGGACAATTGGCTAGCAATGAACCGTATGCGGTTTGACTATACGAGCGGCAGATTACCTAATCCTTGTTGGGCTGGAGCGACCAACATCGACTCGACCAATCGAATCGGATCGGAAAAAGTGTCAGATCGGGCCGCATCGGCACATAATCGAAAACGAATCGAATCGCAGCGCCAGGATGCACAACAGCGCCATGCCGGCATCTGGCCACACCGGATCGGCGGAGTACAGAATCGTACCAGGCCAGCAGGAATCGATATCGGATCGGATCGATCGGATCGAGATTGACCCCGTTGGGGGGGCAACAAGAAACCCTTCGAGGCCTCCCTAGGATTCCCTGCTGCTCGAGCCTCCTCCCTGCGCGCCCGCCATCTTCTCGCTGGAGCCTCCAAGGAGGAAGAGGCGCCTAGTGACCAGGCAGAATCAGTCAGCACCGAATCGGGAAATCGGGTCGAATCGCAATGTCCGTTGGATTGGACCGCATCAGCACGGAATCGAGATCCGATCGGATCGAATGCGCCAAGATGCACCACAGCGCCATACAAGCATCGGGCCACTTCGGATCGCCAGGAAATCGGATTCGAATCCGATCTAGCGGGTTGAAAACGGCATCGAATCGGTCGAAATGCACGAGATATTTGCGCCAAGCCGACGAAGAAAGCGTGGCAACATCAATAACAGCAGCCACGGGAAGAATGAAGGAGGAAAAACAAGAAGAGCATCGAAGGAGGACCAGGACGGTCGGAGAGAAAAGACAGCAGAAAGTCTTAAAAGGTGTGGGCGTGGAACTGGCGAGGTGCTCAAGCGCCCAGACTGAATGATCCTTGTCGAGGTCAGCGACGAGAAGCTTGATCATCGCCATCACTCCGCCGTTCTCCTGGCGACAGGCGGCTGGAGGTCGCCAGAGGTCTCCAGAAGCATCCCGAGGTCTCCAGAAGCACCTCGAGGCCCGAAAAGGGCCACAGACGTTCCAAAAACTCCCCCCCGAACCTCGATCCCCAACCTCGAACGTCGTGACTGGGCCGCAATGCCGCCTCAATTCGGGGAGATCTAAGACACGCATTTGCCTCAAAGGGCCGTGATTTTACGTAACTGGCGGGACTCGATCTGAAATTTGACGCGAGCTCCCGCTGCAGACAACTCACGAAAATTAAGACCGTCAAAAACTCTCCCCCGACCGGTGCCCCCCCGCGCTCTCCCAGACTGCGGTCTCCATTGCGGGGCCGGCAGGAGGCACAAAAGTCAAGCGCGTGAGCGCGGCTCCAGTCCTCGTTGTCATGAGGAACGCTGAAAAAGGAACGGGAGGACCTTCTGGCCAGGGCGAGCCTTGGCCACGAATCGGCTCCCCGACCCAAATCTAAGGAACGCCCCGCACCAGAGCCCATCATGATGCGAAAGTGGTCCTGACGTCCGCGTCTGAAACTTACAATGACGAGCTCGCGCGGCACAGCCGCCAGGCGCGTGCGCGCGGCTAGCCTCGCGCGATCCTCCAAACCTCGATCGCATCTTGCGATCGAATTTCCCACGGCGTCTGGACTAAAGCTTGAAGTGAAAGAGCGCGCCCGTGGCGAACCCCTTAGCTACCCCCCCCCCCTCTGGACCTGTCCTGCCGGAAGCCCCACCCCCCTCCTCTTTTCTCGCCCCTCGGAAGCTACCCCCCCTTTCCGTTCGCGCTCCAGAAGCTGCCCCCCCTCCCTTTCCAAACGGGGGGGGGGCTTAGCTGCCCCCCTCCCTTGAACCTCCTCCGCGGGAAGCCCCCCCCCTCTTTTTTCCCCGCCCCTCGGAAGCTACCACCCCCCTCCTGCTCCGGAAGCTACCCCCCCCCTCCCTTGCCCCAAAAGGGGGCTTAGCTACCCCCCCTCTTCTTGGACCTCCCCTGCTGGAAGGGTCCTCTCGCGGAGGCCGCAGTGACGTCGGACGGTGGAAGGGAGACCCAGAGCCTTCCCCCACCGTCCTATTATGCCGAGGCTAGTTCTGGCAGTGATGACGCCACTCATCTATATTCCCGTTCCAATCTACAAATACTATGGGATGTGGTTTTACAGGGTATTGACTATGAGCTAGCGGGTCGACATGATAAGGTTGGGGCTAAGGCTACACCATTTGTAGGGCGACATGGTCCTCCTCGATCTTGATGGAAAAATATAGAATGGCGACCCCCGCATCGCCGTGCGATGCTTGACGACAATGCTCATGATTGGTTTACGGTACGGCGATGGGCACTACACTTTCGCCATGAGCGTGATCGCTTGTGGCGGTATGAGGAGCGCCTGAGGGCCATGCAGGCCATTGGAGGCCCTCATCCTGCCCAACAGCGGAAGCTTCAGCTGGTCCACGTGGCGATCAACGAGTTCTGCACCAAATTCGCCCAGAAAGGCGATAGAATGGCCAAGCTGGATGTCTACCAGCGCCAGTTCTTCTGTAATGGGCTGCAAAGTTTCGCCGACCCGCATTTAGACGATATCGTGGGTGCCATTATATTGGACAAGCCGATCAAGTCGTGCAGAAGGCACAGGCGCAGATCCAAGGGGCCTGGCTACAATGGGCTCGCGATGCCTTTTTGGGTGGAGCCCTACAGGCCCATGCAACCACCAAAATACGTGCCGCTGAAGAAATACTTGAGGCAAGACCGCCGGCCCCAGGGCCCGCGCGGAACGCCGGAGGAGGCGGTGGAGGGCAAGCCGAAGCCGCCCAAGAAGCCCAAGGCGATCTACTGCGACGCGGGGGTCCAAGGGCCAGTGCACTACAACGGCGCACGCTACCTCCACAAGAACCAAGGGTTCCAGCGCGGGGACGAGGTCACGCGCGAGGTGGCCGCCAAGCCGCACCGCGGCTGAGCGACGACGCCGCCGGCCAAGGGCCTGGCGAGCGAGAGAGGTGGAGAGAGGCTTCCGCCGCTGGCCTCGGCCTGGCGCGCGGAGCCCGCGCCGGAGCGACCCGATTGTGGAGCAGGACGGCGAGGACGAGCTCGACGCGGTCGAGATTCAGATGCCAGTTGAGCCATGGTCTCGCAAGTTCTATCGTCAGACGGCGACGGATGGCGTGGAGGTGCAGCTGGTTCGGAGGAAGAGCGGGAACATCTGGGTGGTTCTCACGCCCGACTTGGGGCTCGGGCTGATCTGCGCCACCGCGAAGACGTCCATCTTCGGGGACCCAGTGGCGGGCATCCGGCGGAGGCCTATGCCGCCGCTGAGCGCAACCCAGCGCGACGCCTACCTCCAGCAGGCGACGGAGTGCGTGCGTGCGGGGACGGTCCCCACGCTCCCGCTCTACCGCCCTGGTCGAGCTGGTCAGCAGGCGATCGCCGTGCACGGGCTGTATGCGATGTGCAGCTCAGGCGCGTCTTCTCTCAAGACTTTGAGGTGGTCTTTGAGGAATCCGAGACGCTTCCTGTGCGCGTTGGCCGCCTTGTCCGTGCTGCACGAAGCCCTGGCCCTGCTGGGTGTCATCGAGTACATGAAGGAGGTGTGGGTGGCTCTTCTGAGCTACCTTATCGCGGCGAAGGATGCTTTCGTAGAGAACTCGGACGTCGAGCAGGAGTGGGTGAGCTACGGCATGGAGTGGAAGGAGTGGGCCCAGAAGCTGATGCCTCTGCAGCGTTGGCTGGTCATGTTCGTCGCGCTGGTGCTCCTCACCGCCGGGGCGGCTCACGAATGGTCAGATCGAGTGGAGCCCGGAGAGTCCTCGATCGGATCGTCTTCAGCGTCGAGCGTCGACGTGGCCGTTGGTCACACTACGTCGCAGCCGCCGCCCTGGCCATCCTCCTTGCCGCCGTCGGCGGTGGAGTCCGCCTTGGCGGCGCAGCTGAGCGACCTTGCGGAGTCGCAAAAGGCCATGATGGAGGAGATCAGCGAGATGCGGACGGCGCAGCGTACTCGGGAGTTGCGTCGCGACGTGCTGGAGTCGCCCCTCGAGACTCGAGGTCGTGCTTCGGAGGAGGCCAATCGCCAGGCGATCGAGAGCACGATGGCCCTGCTGGACAAGTTCGAGGCTCGACTGTAAAGGGGAGGCTCCAGACGAGGTGAGCGTCGGAGATCGAGTCGCTGCCATCGAGGGTTCGGGCGCTGCATCGTCGGCGGGTGCGACTATGGGTTCACCGAAAAAGACGTCCGATCCGACCTTGATGGAGACGCCGGAGAAGAGGTCGGCGCCCAGTGCCCCAGAGGCGGTGGAGTTGGCCAGCAAGCGGATGAGGTTCAAGGCTCAGCTCCCCCAGCAAGTGTTCATGGAACAGTTGGAAGAGTACCAGAAGATCCCTCCCGAGGAATGGAACAGTCGGATGCCGGAGGATTATCGTCAACGGATTTCGGCGGAGGCGCTGTCGGAGATCTACTCTTCTGGGAAGACGGCGGAGGCGTGGGCTCGGGACTTCATCCTAGATCGTGGCCTGATGACGTGCAACAAGGCACGAGAGATGATCGCGGCCTTCGCTGCGGTGGACACGATGCTGATGACGGATCGTCAGAATGGCTTGCTGAATCTGGTGAGTTTCGAGCGGCTGGTGCGAAAGGGTTATGCCATCGTGCGCGCCTAGCGCAACGTGCAGAGTCGCGACGACTGGAGCCGCCCGAAGGATGCCAGGGGCTGGAAGTCGAAGGTGGACTGGGAGGCGGCTCGACGACTGGATCCACAGTTGGCAGACGAGAGAACGATTCGGGCGATGAGTGCCGTGGAGGAGATGAAGGAGGCCATGGGCAGGGGCGCGCAGCTGCTGAAGGCGTGGACCGACCTGGGCGGAGGCTCGGCGGCCCCGCCGTGATGTCCAAGCAGCTTCAGTTGGGGCCGGTCAATTTCGTGTTGATTGGCCCTTGCAGCTGGCGCGGTGGTCCACCTCTCCGCCGGCATCTTTTGTTGCCCTTACTTCTCTGCGGTCGCAGCTGACGGGGGACATTCTCTGCGATAGCCACGTGAGCAGGTGCATGGCGATTTGGGTATTCCATGTCTCGACGGTGCGACGCCCTGTCCGAGGTGGTACTGTTCTCGCGCCCAGAGCTTCCAAGTTCTGCGTCTCGTCGCGTCTTGGGGCGATGGGGGGGAGGAGGTGGAGATCCTTGGGCGGACCAATCGCTTTCTCTAGGCCCTTCGTCGACTCTACCGCGGGAGCTTGGGCGACAGTCTTCGGGAGCTGGCCGAATGCTGGGGGCGGGAGGCTACGCTCAACGACCTGGACAGGGACTTCCCTCGGTGCGCGCTTGGGGCGGTTTGTCGCTAGCTGCCGCCGCCGACGACGCCCGGTCAAGTAGCCGCGATCTTGCGGCTGCGGCCTGCCGCCTCGGCGGCGGGCAGTCAGTCCCCGTCGATCTCCAAGGTGTGGTCTGTCGAACTTCGGAGGAGGAGCGCTGGCGGGAGTGCGCGGCTGCCGGACAGTGGCGAGACGGCCCCCGCCCAGCGGGATCGGTTTGCTCCACCTCCACCGGGGGCCAGACCTGCGAGCGCGAGGTCTGCGCCACCTTGGGTGGCACAGAAATTGGGGAAGCTTCGGGAGGAGATTGCGATGGAGGATTGCGATGCTCGCGCGGTGGTGCGCGAGGTGCGCAACTACGTCGACCTTCACTTCCAGGAGGAGAAGGATGTGTTGCAGTTATCGCGAAGGACTGCCTGGCCAGGGATGCTGCGTCGCATCCCCGAAAAGGCGGACGAGGTCGGGCCCGCGTGCGCGGCGAAGAAGGCCGAGCTGATCGACGGGGGGCCGGAAGTGACCATTCGCATCGCGTCGACCAGAGGCGTTCCAACACCCGCAGGTGGCCCCCGCCGCGGTGTGCGATGGGCGGGGTGAGTGCCATGTCCTTCCTGGATGTGTTCGAGGAGATGAAGGAAGACGGTGCGACTATGCGCTGCGGCTCGGACGACTCGCCCGACTCCTACTACGCGCTGGAG